TCCAACCCTAACCATTCTATGATTATATGAAAAACCATTTATGATGCTGTAATACTGAAGCATGGACTGAAGACTTGGACAGTTTTGCTGGCTGTGTGTGTTTTTGTTAGGGCTGAGAGGAGCATCAGGGAAGTCGATGACGTTCTCCAAATGTACTTGCACAGGCTGAGTTCAAAACTGAGTTGTGCCTGGGGTGGCGAGGGGGAAGGACTTGAGTCCTATAGGTCCCAGGTGGCAAATACCTTGATGGAGACTGTAAAGAACTGTGCTTGAAAAGTAAGGAGCTGTAAGCCTTGTGCATGCTCACATTATGTTTTAGACTGTTTTGCTGTTTGAAATAATCTCTAGTGCTCTTACTTTTTTGTATTGAGTTTTAGTATTTATTATTTAAGTAGAACCAGGAGTGAAAAATACTTCGGTATTGCCAGGATCAATAACAATCCTGTTTTGCCCTAAAACATGATTATTGCTGTGAGTAGTAAGAGAAAAGCTTCCTCCAGAAAACAAGAAAATTCTGGAAAGGTCAGAATTTGAGTGAATGCAATTTTATGGGTTATATTACTTGAAAACCTATTTGCAGCATTGCCTCAGAAGTATAGATTGTGGTTAAAAGCTTCAGTTTTGAATGTTATCAGAAGATGTGGAATGGAAATTATTATTCACTTCTCAGACTCATGCCTGAATGTTATTAAAGATAGTTTAAAAAAAACAAGGATTACAAGATTTGCTGTGAATGCCTACTAAGTAATGAATCACTAAGTAAGTGAATCAAGGAGACTAGAGATATATGTGTCTATTATGATTTTTGGGGGGGATAGAACTAAGTGGAGGAAAGCTTAGCATACTAAATAACACTTTAAAAATTACTTTGTTCTGTCTTCTCCCAGAATAGTATCCAAGTAGTCCAGGGTATAGTAGAATAGTATACTTTTAGGGTTTTTGTGCTCTGATAAATTACAGTCTTGATATTGGCACTGTGATTTTGAATTTTACAGAGGTGTTTTGCCAAAGTTCCTTTATGCTAAAAATTTAACCATATAATAGACTGTTCTGTGACTCAATTTTCCTTTCGTATGCAGCAGGGGTTTTCCACATTCACAATCTATTCAGGAAAAGAGATTTCCCTAATAGTGATCAAATTCTAGTCTTGTGTAATTCTATATAGATTTTGCCATCAGTTTCAGTGAGGAACTCTGATGCTGGTATTGAATAATAATAAATAAACCAGCTCACAACACAGGAATTAATTTGCTTTCTTTTTATATCTAAATTATCATCTATGAAGTGAATAAAGTATGTTAGAATACTTCTCCTTAGCATGGGAAGAAGCTGTGGAATTATTGCTTCCGATTTGTAAATTAAAATGTATTTCAGCAGACGTGTGCATCTTATGCATATGTAAATGAATCTCATCACTGCAGCTTGAGTGTTCTTTTGAAACATCTTATAGATGTTCTAGTTTTCTAGGAGCGAATCTTAATACTTTTTTCTTACATTTTATTTGTGAAGTTTAGAAGCACAGGATGGTTTTCATAACACACAAGCATTTTTCCAGTGTCTCTGAATTGCGGATAGTAGTTACATTAAAAGTAACTAATGAAATACTGAAATTATGGACTACACTAAAGCCACAGTTTAGGGATTACCTAGGTTGTACAGTTTGAAGTGAACAACTCTTAAAAACTAAAGTGCCTGGTATTGTACTTCAGCGTTCTATTCAAGAAGAACTCTTTCTTGATTCAGTAAAAACTGACTTATATAGCAATCATTCCTGGTTTATGCTTCCATCTGCTTGTTTTAGTGGAAGAACAACTGGTGAATTGCCCTTTTGTCATGCATCTTTTTTCTTCTTCTTCAAAGTTATTCAGCACTTACAGCCAGAAGAGGAACCGTAGGTTTATTTATATGGTTTATGTATTTTTAGGGAAAGAAAAAGAAGCTACAAAATGTATTGGAAGGCATTCACAGCTATTTGTCAGTTCTCTTTCCTTTCTAGATAATAAACCCATGTGAATTCTTGATGGATTCCTAGGTACATTCTTCTGTTACTTGGGTAACTTACAGTTACTGAGAAGTCTGTTCTTCTGTCAAGGGACATAGGTATTTCTTGACTATCATACACTTTTTTTTCTTTTTGCAGCTTTTGAAGAGCTTGAGAGGGCTCTGAGTATTGCCCAAAAGACAGAGGAAGCCCGGAAAAAATTGCAGGCAGAAATGGATGAAAAAATCAAAGCAGTAGAAAAGGCAAGTGAGGAAGAGAGGGTAAATCTTCAACGGGAGTTAACCAGAGTGAAACAAGAGGTGGTTGAGATTATGAAGGTAAAAGCTGAAACTCACCGTGTATTATTGGCTTTTAATCTAATCATTCAATTACAATTAAACTATAGTTGTAAAATACATTAGTATATCAGAACTTTGTTATAATTTTTTTGCTATGTAACAAATTCTGTAAAAATTAATTTCTAGGATTATTTATTTATAGATTTATGTAAAACAAAATGGAAAACTCCCTATACAGATTTTTTCTTTAAAATCAGTGTGTTTAGAGGCATGGAAAAATGAACAGTATTACTCTTTGTTTCACAGTATTTAATAAAATACTGACTAGAAGTACACTTGAAGCTTTGAAGGGAGTCAAGAAGAAAAAATTAATGGCAGTCAGATCACACATCTCCACCAGGATTTTGGGTTTTAATACTAAGTACTTTTAATGATTATCCTAGCCCAGTATGTGTCAACGTTTAAGAACTTGTTGCCAAACTGTTTGCTAGTTAAGAATTGCTAAAATTTGCTTCCTCTGGTGTGTTCAGGTAGGAACTGCAGGAGTACTGCACATGCCTTTAAAAGCTGTAAATTTGGACACCTTTAAATTGCGGTTCTTGTGCTGACATTTGTTATGTTCTTAGTTTTTCTAAGTGAAGACACTGATGATTTAGGGAGATGACTGACTTGCATTACATTATTCTTAAATAAAGCGCATATGTAGGTTGTAGGTAGCTGCCTACATAGAGTATCACCACTTGACTCTCTGGATCATGAAATAAGAATACAGGGAAAGCTGCAGACAGAAGTTCCTTTTCCAATTTATTATCACATTTGAACTAAAATTGAAAATGCTAAGTTCACCTTGGTAGAAGAGTCTTTAGAAAATGCAGTGTTTCTTGTAGTAGAACTGTGAAAGACTTGAGAAGGAAGATGGGTAACTTCAAACTTGAAAATAAGAACTGTCAGGGCTTAATATTAAGCACTCCCAGTAATTGTTACTTATTCAGAGGGAGCAAAGAGATGGTTGTGGTTTCCTCTCTCTGTTGCACTGCTTTTCTTATTAAGAAATAATACAAAGTGTTTTGTTATTTAGTATTTTTAAATTAGTTTTTTCTGACTTTGATTCACAGAAGTCTTCAGAGGAACGTGTTGCTGAACTGGAAAAATTCCATAAAAAAGAAATGGCTACCAAAGATCAGGAGCTACATGACAGATTACAGGCCCAAGAAAAGGCATTCCAGGAGAAGATGAAGGCAGCTCTTGTAAGTATCCCTAAGATGTGTAGAAAGACATTTCTCCAAGTGTGAGGTGGGGCTAGAAGTCTTAATCTCACCCTAATCAGCAGTGAGAGTCTTTCTGCACTCAAAAATATGAGTGTACTCCAAAAACCAAAGAGCTCAGAGACTTCAGCAACATGAAAGGAAAGCAACTGCAATGATCCAGACTGAATAATGATAATTAATCGCTGTCACTGCTCACTAACAGCTGCATTTTGTGGGAAAGACTTTTTTTTTTTTAAACTCTTCTTCTTAATTTCTTCTTCTGGATCGTTGGTGATTAGTCACAGCAACTATAGTGAATGAGGCTGTTATTTGAAAAGTGTTGGTATCGTTACGTCTGGTTGTGTTACGTGTCAGGATTAACTTTTCATAGTATTTGACCTCAGAAAAGAATTTTCTTCTAGGTCAGACTGGTAGGAATTGTTGGGATTCTTTGCTCTTTTTCATAAGCTGTAATCCACTTTAGATCATCACGTAATTTTACCTAACGAATAGTAGATTCTCTTTTGTGCTCCTCCATGATGGTTGGTGACTAGAACTGAGGGACTTTGACAGTCCCTTCCTGACTACATTTTTCTACCTGTTTCTCAGGTTATTATTGTAATTATAAGGAATAGAAGCTTAAAAAACTTTAGCAGTGGAATCAAGTGAAGACAGACCTTTATTCCTCTAAGGTGTTACTCTCAATTAATCATGCTAAACCAACCAAATGAAAGGCTGGATTGCAGTATGTTTTTCATACAAAGGGAAGTAGACAAATGGTTCCCAAGAAGAGAAAATGGAAGTGATTTATCACAATTTCATTTTCACAGATGAAATACAAACTATATGTGTGTGGAGAAAACGCACGTGATTAGTGTATGACTCCTATTAACTGGTTTGTAAATATCCTATTATACTGTTTTTTGAAGGTGTGATGGACATGTTTATAGTTTGTTTTAATAATTTTTGATACAGGAAAAAAATCAGAGTGAGTGTTTAAAAACCCTTCAAGAGCAAGAACAGCAAGAATCCCTAGCCTTAGAAGAATTAGAGCTGCAGAAGAAAGCGATACAGTCAGAGTGTGACAAGAAGGTTCAGATGATGCATCAAGAAGTAGAGACTTTTAGAACTGTGAGTAAAGATTCCTAAAGGGTAAACGTTTACAAGAATTCCTTTCAGTATATATTTAACTGTGACAGGTTTACAAATACTATGGATTCATTGTGATTGGGCTGGTTTAATCTCACAGTGCTTCTTGTAGTGACAGAAATTTAATGTATTGCCATGGTATGCTGCAGCCCCTTGTTTTTTACAAGATTAGATGGCAAAAATAGAGATACATTCGCTTTATATGATGGCGTGGGATATGAATTTATACATAATTTTTATGTACATTATGCAGGAGAGTTAAGCTTTAAACTGTTAAACTTCTGGGTACTGCTACTATACATACACTTATAAGGATACTTGAGTAAGTAAAAAATTTACTTAAATTTTTGAAGTGTCCTTGGCTTTATGTAATGGGTAAGATTGTATTATCTGTTAATACAAGTTTGTACATTATTCCACCACTCCCAAATATTAGTTTGGAAGTTGTGCCTGTAGAAGCATTTTAACTTTACAGCAGCATTTCCATGAGGGCTGGAATTAAGATAGATCAGTAGATATGTACAAGGCTCCATGTGGACTTCCGATACCGTTCTTCCTATGTGTATTAGTACTTTAGCTTAATAAGAAAAAGTGAACATATCTCTCATAAATATCATGTGAATTATTTTATTTGAATTAGTTAAATTTGTACAGGTTTTTATTGTATCTATTTTTACTGCAGTGAAAGAGATTTTTTTTAATTTATTAAGTAACTCACATAATAGAAGCAAAGTTAACAACAAATGAGATGAACGAAAGGCTTATATAAAAGGTTGATATTCACTAAAAAGAATGGAGTGACTTGTAGTTATGTGAACCTGCTGGGATTTTTTAAAAATTTCATCAACTCATTACCTTTTAAATATTCATATTCTTTTAAAACTGTATTCTCTAACAGAGGATTCTTGAACTGGAAAGTTCTCTTGCAAAGTATTCGCAAGATGACAGAAAACAATCAGAGGAATTAAGTACTCTGATGGAGTCTGAAAAAAAGCAGCATAATAGGGAAATCAGTGATATGGTTGAAAAACACAAGAAAGAATTGGAAAACATGAAACAGCAGCAGGAAAAGCTTTGGACAGAAAAACTTCAAAACTTAAAGCAACAACAAGCAACTGAAATAGAAAAAATTAGAGAGAAACAGGAACAAGAGATAGATACAATTTTGAAAGAGAAAGAAACAGTTTTCCATGCACACATAGAAGAGATGAATGAAAAAACATTAGAAAAACTTGATGTGAAACAAACAGAATTAGAAGCTCTGTCTTCAGAGTTATCAGAATCACTAAAAATGCGTCATGATTTAGAACAAGAGCTCTCAGAATTGAATAGTAAAGTGTGTGAAGCAAAGCAAGAGTGGGAAGGAAAGTTGGAAGAAGAGAGGAAACGGCACAAAGAAGAAGTTGAAATGATGTTAAAAGAGCACGAAATATCTATTCAAGGAGTTGAAAAAGAACTCAGAGAGGAACTCAACCAAATCAAGCAGTCATTGGAGGAGAAAGACAGACGTCTGGAGGAACTAAAAGCACATGAACAGAAACTAAAGGAATCTGCAGAAAGATCTGAAGCTGAACTTGTCCAAGTGTCTACAAAGCTAGAGGAGCTTTCGGAGTCTCATCGGAGTACTTCTAATGAGCACGCAAAGACTTATGAAGAGGAATTAGCCAAATTGCAGCAGAAGCTGACAGATCTTGAAGGTGAAAAATTGCAACTTAGAGATCAGCTAGAAAGAACTGAATCCCAGCTGGATAAAGTCAAGAATGAATTAGAGGCATACATCTCTCAGGTACATGACCTGAAGCAGCGTTTGCAAGAGCAAAGCAATGAAAATACACAAAAAGTAACATCACTAACACAACAATATGAATGTCAGCTGGAGGATCTACAAAGAGAGGCTGATGAGATAAAGAGAAGTCTAACTGAGAAAGAAAATGAAATTGAACACGTGAAGAGGTTACAGGACAAGCAAGTGGAAGAACTTAAACAGAAACTGTTAGCTGCAGAGGAGAGAATCAGTGCTTTACAAGGAGAATATGAAAGTAAACTGAAACGTCAGGAGAACAAAATGGACAAAATTAAACAGAAATCAAAAGATATGCAGGAATCGTTCAAAAAGAAACTTGCTGAGCAGGAAGCTAAACTGAAAAAGGAACTTGAAAACAAGCAGTTGGAGTTCAGTCAGAAAGAGAGTGAATTCAATGCTAAAATGTTGGAAATGGCACATGCCAGCTCAGCTGGAATCAATGATGCCATATCAAAACTGGAATCTAATCAGAAAGAACAACTAGAGAGTCTTGCGGAGGCTCATAGGAGGGAGTTGGAAGAAATTACCCAGAGTTGGGAGAAGAAACTCAGTCAGCGGGTTGAAGAGCTCCAGGAAAAACATGAAATGGAACTGCAAGAGAAAGAGCAGGAAGTTGGAGACCTGAAACAGAAACTTGCCACCTTCAGTGCTGAGAAGGAAGGCTCCAGAATAGAAATAACCCAACTGAAGGAAGAACAGGTGAAAAAGGAGGAGTCCCTGAAGGAATTGCAAGAACAACTGAGGGAGTCAGTGGCTAAGGTGAATGCTTTGTCAGGTAAGGAAAGTGACCTGAAAACACAGTTGAAAAAATTGGAAAGAGATCTTAATCAGTCCCTGAAAGAGCAGTCAGGACTTCAGGAACAGCTCAGTAAACAGAAAGCAGTTGAAGAAAAGGACAAAGCCAAAATTACTGAGCTGGCTGATACACTGAAAACACTTGAAGAGAAACTCCAAACTGTGCAGTCTTCTCAGTATAAAGATCATGAAAATTATCAGAAAAAAATAGAGGCAATTCAGCTAAAAGAAACTGAGTTTAAAAAGCAGTCAGGAGAACTTGCAGCCCAGTTAGATGCTTATTGGAAGAATGCTGAAGCTTTATTGCAAACAAAAAGCAATGAATTAATTGAAAAATGTAATGAAAAGATTGGCATAGTAACATGCAAAATTGCAGATTGCGAGCGCCGAACTGCAAAAGTTAAAGAAGCAGTATTAACTAAAACAAGTAAGATTCCTGAACTAGAAGCTCAACTTAGAGAAGTAACAGAGCATCATTCTGCTGCAACTACTTCTTTGCAAAAGTCAATGCAACAGCTGCAAGAGAAGGACGATATAATTATGTCCATGAGAGCTGACATTGAAGGACTTGTAACAGAAAAGGAACAATTGCAAAAAGAGGGAGGGCATCAGCAGCAAGCAGCATCAGAAAAAGAAACTTGCATAACACAGCTGAGGAAAGAGTTATCTGAAAATATTAATGCTGTCACCTCAATGAGGGAGGAGCTCCAGGAAAAAGAATCTGAGATCTCTGCTCTGAACAGAACAATTAATGACCTTAATGTTAGACTTGAAAGCACGATAAGTTTAACGGAGAAGGAAGCAGCCATGTCTCTGTTAAGCAAGCAATATCAAGAAGATCAGTTGCAGTTATTAAACCAGGTACAGGAGTTAACGTCCAGAGTTGAGACACTGAGTCAAGAAAAAGCATCGGCTCTTGAGCAGGTAGATCATTGCACGTCCAAGCTGTCAGAGTGGAAGATGAAAGCACAAACCAGGTTTACACAAAATCATGATACTATTAAAGATTTGCAGAGCAAACTTGAATTAAGCAATACTGAAGGCAATAAAAAAGATGAAGAGCTAAATAAACTGAAGGAGCAGCTGGCTAAACAAAGCAAGAATCTCGATAGTTTAAAAAGTGAATTGGAACAAAAGCAAAACAGGAGGGAAAAGCAAGAAAGTGAGTTAACAGCAAAGTTAAAAAAACAAGCAGCAAGAATTGCTGAGCTAGAAGAGCACATTGCGCAGAAAACTTCAGAAAATGATTCCTTGATGGAGGAACTGAAAAAGTATAATGAACAAAAGGATACAGAGCAAAAAGAGATAGCTTGGCAACTCCAGCAAGCAGAGAAGGTGGCTTTTGAAAAGGACAATAGATTTAAGGAGGCTGAAGAAAAAGTGCTTAATCTTGAGAAGCAAATAGGTTCACTGAAAGCTGAATTTGAAGCAAAGGAGAGGGAATTTGATCAAATGAAGTCAGCGATACTTAAAAGTAAAGAGGAAGAACTGAAAGAATTAGAAGAGAGACTGAATGCAGAGAACAGTACTAAGCTGGCAGATCTGAAAAAGAAGGCAGAGCAAAAAATTGGTTCTATTAAAAAGCAATTAATATCTCAGATGGAAGAAAAAGAACAGCAATTTAAGCAAGATAGAGAAAATCAGTTAAGAGACTTGGAACAAAAAGTGCAGGAGAGGGAGGCCAAAATTGAGTCCTTAGAAGAAAAAATTAAGTCAACAAGAGATTCCACAGAATTAGAGAAAGAAATGCTGCAAAAAGTAGAGAATGTAAAAGCTGCTGTAGAGCAAGAAAAAAATAACATGCTTGAGAGTGTCCAACAGATGTATGAAGAGAAAATGCACGTGTTACAGAAGGGCTTAACCGAGAAAGATGAATTATTGCAAAAGTATGAAAAGGAACAACGAGAGAGTAATGACTCTCATCTAGAACTGCAAAACAAACAAGAACTCCTCCTTAAAAAACTAGAATGTGTTGAGAAGAGCCATCAGGAGGAGCAGAGTAGGACTGAAAGCCTCAAGAAAGAACTTGAAGAGCAAACCAAAAAATATGCATTGTTAGCGGATGAGCATGCTTGCTGTGGCGGTGATTTAGCAAGCAGTAGGGAAGAGTTAAAAGCTAAAGAACAAAAACATCTTGATATGGAGAATGTAATTGGAGATTTGCAGAAAAAATTGCAGGAAAAGGAGACAGGCAGTCAGTCTTTAGAACAGAAGATAAAAGAGTTGGAAAATAATCTAGTGAAGGAAAATGAAGCACATAAGATTGAGATGGAAGATATGAGTTTGAGATATGAAGAAAAGCTAAAAAGTTTACAGCAACAGTTGGATGAAAGAAATGACAATCTGAAAGCTGTTGAGGAAAACGCTGAAGAAAAGGCTAAATCTAGTTTGGAGCTGCAGAAGTTACTAGATTATATGCAGAACCAGCAGAAAGATTTGCAGACTAAACTGGAAGAGACTGAAAGGGAGAAACAGAAATTACGCAAAGAAGTGAATAATCTTCAAAAAGACTTACGTACTCTGCGAAAAGAACATCAGCAGGAGCTTGACATAGTAAAGAAGGAGTCCTTAGAAGAAATGGAGCAGAAAATCAGGTAAATTCTTTGTTCCTGATCTTGTTATTTCTTTGCTTTATCTGTAGCCACTAAAACCTCAAGAATACTTTTTAAATTTCAATTTGTAACAATGAAAGAATGACTGGTATTTTCCTGTGATTTTTCTAAATAGACTTGGAGAGACAGCAAGAAAAGAGCTACTTGAAAGTAGCACTTTGTGAAAGCATAAAACACTATTTGAGTCATCAGTGTAAAAAGTGGTTTGTCTTTTGGCATAGTAATACTGCTTTTGATTTGGTTTAGTGATGGTCATTTTCAGCAATGTCAGAACATAAAATATAGTTCTGTTTTCCTCAAACAGGAAACCAAAGTTATTAAAACTTAGTACTGAGAGCTTCGTGTTCAAATGATACTGAGAGTTGTTCCTATGTATTGCACAAAAATGTGATATACTGCTTGGCACTGTAATGGTTTCTCAAGCAAGGAATTCCCTAAAAACTTTGCTTTTGTGCAGCATATTCTTTACTTCCAGTTCTTCATCTTCCTCAGCAAAAAACTCCATATCTTTTTGAAGGGTTCTATTCTAGTTGTTTTTTAAATGAGACACCTGTGCCTTCCAGGTGAATTCCATAGGAGGGGAACAAAAAGCCTCCCTGAATCCCACAGAATTCGTATAATTCAAAACTATCCCATTCCAAAATAATTTTGGAGAAATTCCCAGATCTCTTACCTTGCTAAACTGTTCTCACATTCTCTTTAAATATTTCCTCATTGTATTTTCTGACATTTTTGTACAGATGTGAACAAGAAGACATTGAATTAAAGCACAACTCCACCTTAAAGCAGTTAATGAGAGAGTTCAATACTCAGCTGGCTCAAAAAGAAAGAGAATTGGAAACAGCAGTAAAAGAGACAATCAGTGAGTGAAATACTAATATAACTGTAATCAGTAAAATAGCCAGAAAATCAAATCTTCAGATGTTTTGGGGAAGGGTTTTTACCTGGGACTCTGATAAAGACAACATGTGATAAAGAGAACATGTGTGTTATGACTGCCTAGAGAGCTCAGGAAAAGAACTTCTTTTGCTCAGGAAATAACATACAAATGTCAGTTGTAGCACAATTAGGAAAACGCATATGTGGCTGTTCTTCCTGACCCTACAGGATGGATCTTTGATCTAGCACTCTGTTTGCATCTGTCATGGCAAGAGTTACCCGTGATAGCCATACGTACCTATTTTTTTATCATATGTACAAAAGAAAAAAAAAAAGCGAGTAAGGTTTTAGAGGTGAAAGCACATTGATTAAGTTTTCATTGTAATACTACTTTGGCTTCAGCAGTGCAAACCTTTAATGCTCCATTGTGGAATATATGACCCTGAAGGGTGCCTTTTAGAGAAACTTGGATCCATCTGGGAATCAGAATGGAATTTTCTTAGCTGCACCTTGCAGACTTCATTCACTGTAACCACTAACAAGTACCAACTGGATACGATGTGTGATTGCTATATGATGTACATATAACTATAGAGTACAGCATATTTCAGCTTCTCTGTCCATCTTTAGCCACCATAGTGTAAGTTGGAGGTTGGAGAAGTGAGCAGAAGGTATCTTTTGACTCAACAATTAATGGAAGTACTCCCTACAACTGAGGAATTTCTGAAGATTTGCAGATGTTTCTATCACTTCTCTAGATAGTGTAGGAGATAGAATTAGTTGATAAATACTGGTTGTGATCTTAAATTTTAGAGAAAAGTTCCAGCATCAGGTAGAAAAAATTGGTCTGGATACCAAATGGCAGGCAACAAACTTCACACATGTTAGGATCAAGTGGCATAATTATCACTGACAGTGTGGAAAAATGAATTTGCTTGACAAGTTTTCCTTACAGATGCCTTCCACAGTTGTCTTTAAGCTTTTTTGTAATATTGTTGTGACATAATTTAACAAAATAAGTATGATTTTCTTTTTATATTGCCTGACTTTTTTATAGGTAAAGCCCAAGAGGTAGAAACTGAATTGATAGAAAATCATCACATAGAGACAACACAGTTACATAAAAAAATCGCGGAAAAAGACGATGATCTAAAAAGGACTGTGAAAAAATATGAAGAAATCCTTGAGGTATCTTTCTGAAAAGTGATATGACTACATACATTTCAAATTAATGCTTCCCCTTTTTTTATTGCACAACTAGACAGAAAAACTGTAATTCTTTTTATTAACGATCTTACTGCTTTAATTGCACCTGATATGTGAAGTCATGCAGATGTAATTCCTCTCTTTTTTCTGATGCATTCAGTCTGTACGTGTGTCAGAAACATGCATGCTGTACTCAATGTATGATCTTGAATGTTTAGGCTAATTTGACTTCCGTGCAATTGGAGGATATGAACACTGTTATTTTTTGCATCTCATTGATGATAGCAATGACAGTTGCCTGAAATGGCAATAAGCTGTATTTTGATATTCTAAATTTCAGACTCCATGTTTCTTTTTTAGGTAATGGTATATGTGTGAGTGTTTTGTTTCTATTATTTTTAGGGAAGAAAAAAAAGTTTAGAGAATTTGTTACCTTTTTTGCTGAAAAAGTATTGCAAACATCTCAAAAGTTAAGAAATATTTATGTTAAATTGAGTGTATTTCATATTCATTGAGATCTTTGATAGCAATAGAAACATATGCATCAGCGGATGTATGGGTTTTCTCATGTTACCCTAAAGTTACCAGTTATTTTCCCACTTATACCTGACTTGACTCATGATAGGTTTGAGAAATTTCACATCAAGACTTCAATGCAGAGGTTTCTCTGTCATAAATGGTAAGAAATTGAAGCAAAGATAATGCCAATTGCAAGAATGAATTTTGTTCCTATAAATTTGTAGCTCTTTGTTGCATTTTAAATGTGGTTAATGATGCTAAAAATTAGTCTAACTTGATTTGAGTCTATATCCTTAAAGATGAGCAGGAATCATTCAGTCTGTTAAACTTAATATGATTTATTTGTGAAGTGCTCCCCTGGTACTTCTCATGCTTTATCTGTTTTTTTTCTTATCTTTCATAAAAACTTTTTATCATTTAAGATTTCATGAAAGTCTCCCTAATTAAAGGACTTGTAAATCAGCATAGCCTGTAATTTGAGGCCTAAGTCTTTTTTCTTCAACTAAAGTATAGAATTAGAGAAAAATGAATGTTTTGCTCCAGTTAGATATTTTATATTTAGCTCATGGATAGACGTAAAATAAGCTAGCTTCAGGTGTGTATTCTTTCATTTCTTGTAATGTCTCCCATGTGAATACAGGATAGGCCTTGTGGTTAAGATTTGGGAAATTATGACTTTATTGAAGTCTTAGTCTATAACTGTAATTAAATCCAAAAAGCATGCAGGTTTTTTCAGAGTATGCCAGATGCTGTACAGAACGTAAGTTCTTATTGTAAATACAGATTCTATAGAATGTGGGAACCCCACGTGATCTCTAATTATTTCAGATTTTAAATTATAATCTCTATTCAGAGGTTTATAAAAATAATGGCTCACAGGTAGATCCCTTTTACAGAAGTGTCATTCATTGTTTTAATTTCTTTTCTGCATTTCAACTACCTTCTATGCCTAAGAGTGATGTGCATGCAATTTGTGTTTATTCCACTGAACAGTTAGTCTAGAAATTGCAAGATTTTAGATTCTTGATGTAAAAATCCTCAACCAAACCCCCCCAAAACTCTCCCACAAAAAAACCCCAAAAAACCCCCAAGCAAACAAGCAAAGGAGAAAGAAGCAGCTGAATATGCCAGGTATTGAGGGTTTTGAGCCTGGACCAGGTTCCTAGTTCTGCAGTTATTTTCCAGTGAATATTCTGTGTTTCACTATAGTTTGTACTCCTGAGATTTTGAATGGAACAAAATCTTGATGAGCAGTTATGTTCTTGATAACAGTTGATTAATTGTACTAATTCGATCTGAAGTACTACTGCATAGCACAGGGGGGCAGCTCACTGCCCCGAGCGGTTAGCATGAGTGAAACTAGACTTTTAGTTTTGTTCAGCAGTGGAGACATGCGGTTTGAGTCAGAGTGCTGTTTTATAAGCTCCCGGACATGTTATCTCACAAAAAGGCCAGAGGGGACACAGTTTGAAAAAATACTTCTTTTTGAAAAGTGCCATATGGGTAGTTTAACTTGCTAGGATTTAGGTCATCGTATTTTTCTCCTATAAATGTAGTCTTCACGCGGTCATAAAGCATACAGGAAAAGTTCATTTCCTCCCTGCCATTGTTGCCACTGCTTCTGTCCTCCACGTTGCACAGTGCCCTCCAAACCCTTGTGAACGAGAAGTCATTGTTTCTGAAAACGTGCTTAAAAATGTTTTAGGAACATCTTCGTGAGAGGTGGTGAGGAAAGGATTTTAGTCCTTGTCACTTCCAGAGTATAGGAAGTAACTCTGTATCATCACGTGTCCCTTTCATTTAGGTCATATAAGTAAGCACAATCTCTCCAGTATTACACTTACTGGATTATATTCAAATGCTGGTTTAGTGCCTGATAGAAATAGGTCTTTTTTTGTAATTTTCAAAAAACTAACTGTAATCCTAACTATGTAATCTTAATTGCTGAAAGCCTGCAAAATCTTAAGTTTGTTTCTTGCTCTTTTCTGTAGTCCTGTGGTGTAACTAGCCTTTACATTGAATTTCAAGCATATTCTTTGTGTAGTATAACTCTTTTGTTGATTGCTTTCTGTCCACTCTAGTTAAGATTTTGAGTGGTTAGATGATTAATTTTATTTTTTTTTTCTGTATTTTGAAGGCTCGTGAAGAAGAAATGACGGCAAAAGTTCATGAGTTGCAGGCACAGCTGGAAGACTTGCAAAAGGAATACAAACAAAGGATGGCAGAAGAGGAATGTTGGAACAGTGACAAAGTGAGCTGGCACTAACATTTATTTTTATATCTTTAGGTGTGAAATGCTTAGTCTTCATAAAATTCTGTAGTTTGCCCTTAATTGTATTTTCCCTTACAGTTTCTATTCTTCTAGATTTTAACTTCTTCAAAAGTGAACCTCTTTAGAATCTGCAGTATTTGATACTACCTTTTGTAATGGTGTGTTAAAAAGTCCAGTTGTGTTGTGATTATTAAGGTGGGGGGTTTTGCCCTCTATGTGTGGTTTTTATGTTGATTTTACTGGAAGCCCTTTAGAAGGAATGGAAATAACATTGGGTCATATTTAGTGTGATTTTTTTTTTTCTTTTTTTAAAAATCAAATTCCAAAGGGCTCTGAAATAGTGCCTTGAATATGTCAATTATGGACAGAGAGGCCTTCATTGAAAGAAGACTGAGTGCATGCTTTTGAGACCACATGTTAGTGTGAGGAATTCTTTGTTGAAAATACTACTAGTTATTACTACACTGAGAAGAGGAAAAGTGTTGGGATGTAGAAGTATCAGAAACTTTCTCTCTCCATGGGAAAATAAATGTCTGGCCAGGTGACTGAGCTCTTCAGAAGCAAGAATTACACTTCTGAGTTTAAGATCCTGTCCTGGTAGCCCCCCCACTACCAAAACCTTGCCACTCAAACCCAACACAGATCCATAGACGAATAATTTTTCCCCTTATGTTCTGTTTGCGGAGTGTAGGAAAATCTACAGGTTTCATGAACCTACAGACATGAGGAGTAGTCTTTCTTTTCAACATAATTCCAAACAGGCTCCAGAAGAAACAAGTAGTACGCACCACTTCTGTGTTAAAGTTTAGGCTACCTTAAAAAAAAAAATTAAAAAAAAAATTCACACACAAATTATTTGATGTTAAAATGATTTTACAACCTTGAGTTATACACATGACTACTAAAGCATTATTTTCCTTAGAGTTGGAACATTGAAAGATTGAAATTTCAGCTTAGAATTGTCTCTATACTTCATAAACATTGATATTTTTGAAAGATGTAGAGCTCATGAAGCTCTTAGGCTGAAGCTATTTTCAGATCAATGTTTGAATTTGCAAATGCAACTTGGAGAATTAAGGAAAAAGATACAATATTGTGAACAGTATTATGTTAGGATTGTCTGGCATGTGCTTCATATTCATTCAGTTATCATTCATCTCCAATATACATTTTGTAAAGATATAGAAATACTAGGTTCTTGAAGTTACATTTATGGTAATTGTCTTGCAGAATCAAATGAGAGAGCTTAAATACAAGCTTTGTGTACTGTCAATACAAATAAGTTAAACTGTGTTATAGGACTACTTATTTTTATATGTGTGATTTGGTTATTTCAATTTTTATCATCCTCAACGCACCAAATCAGAATTGATTGAATGATAGTTGTTTCTTTTTTTAGCATGTCCTGTGCTTGATATACTCTGTATTTTTCATACATTTTAATATACATTTTTTCTTGTTGTTGTTCTAGATCACAATAACAGAACTTCAGGTAAGTCTGAAATTGTATTGATTTTGCTCTCTAGATAATTCTGTTTCACAGCAATTTGAAAGCAGAAATACTTCCTAGAAGTTTGTATGTGTGTTAAAAGAAGAAAGAGATTTATTGAAAAGGTACCTATGACATCTTCAGCAGTTTCTTGATGATTTCCATATGTGACTTCTTTCAGGCACAGCTTGCACAGAAGACAACACTAGTCAATGATTCAAAACTGAAAGAGCAGGAGTTCAAAGAGCAGGTAAGGGTGCTGTTTGAGCAAGTAAAAAGTATTCTTGTTTGATACTTTGTGCTTGCAGTATTAAAAGGTTTGTTCAAGTGATGATGTAGCACATCTCCACGCAGGTGCTATGGAAATAATACGCATCTAGAATAGTTTTGACTTACACTTGCTCTCAAAAGATCTGTGCACTTTTCAAAGTACTCCTCTATCCCCTGAGAATGAAAATACCACATGCTTGTGATGCAGGTTATCAAAATATTTGCACAGTGAGAAATGGAACAACACACTTGATGAAATAATGGATCTTTTTCTAAACTAAACCTTTTCTGGTGTCAAGTACAATCTTTGTCATGTTTTCTTTTTTATGTATGCTTATGTCTATAAAATATACAGGTGTATAAATACATATATATGCATAACATTTGCTGTAGATACGTGTATAAACACATGTACACACATTTTCTTGAGTAGTTTAGGGACAGTTTTTAATTACACAATTTCTAGTGTTTTCCTTCCTTAAAAAACAACTCTATTTTGCTTTCATAAAAGGAGATGATATTTAGCTGAAAACTACTTCAATTATGATTATATTAGCTGCTTGGAATACCATTTATCATTTTGACTGTTCTCTATTTAGATTCATGTACTGGAAGACCGGCTGAAAAAGTATGAGAAGAATATGTACGTTACATCAGTTGGAACACCATACAGAGGTAAGCATGCAGTTTTTGTCAAAAATAAGTTATTTCTTTGTTTGAAAGATATGCTTTGGTTGAGATAATTTATTAAAATGTCAGTCTCTTTAAAACACTCATATATTTTTGACATTTTATCCTGGGTTTGTCTTGTCTGTTACAATAGATGTATGATTTCAGATGAGCAAATCACACAGCATTTTGTTTGATGGTTTTTTTCATGTCATACAGTTAAGAGCTCTATATCAGAGTTCTTCAGCTTTCTGTATCTCCAGGGGGAGTGGTACAGGCAGTGGCACTAGAAAGTGCATGGGGAGGCATTACCCATTTGTCTTGGCTAATTAAATATGCATTTTATGACTCTCTAAAATTCTGAACAATACAAATATTACATTTTATGGATCTTACTTGTTACTTTCTGGGCATTTACTCTTCTTGAGATTAGAGTTCCTTTGCAAGATCTCCAGCTCTGACACAGTAATAAAAAAAATAAAGCAAATTAAAATCCTGTTTCCACTTGTAACCTTTGTGTTGTGTCCTTCAAAGTATTTTTGGAGCTAAAAAAAACCCTGGCATTTCAGGCAAATGACAGTCTCATTGTTATGTGAATCGTGATGAGTGCAGGGAATAGAAGAGAACAATCATGCTGTGTTATGCCTACAGTTCCACATGACTAGCTCTGACCTAGGTCTGAAGGCTCCATCCAGGACTGCAGTGCAGGTCCCAGGCCCATCCAGGAGTGGAGTCAGGCGGGCATCTAAAAAGCAAAGGCTTCAGTCCTCCTGGGCAGCTATCATACGGGCGCTTAGGGCCTCGTAAAGAGAGGCT